GAGGCAGGAGACTCGCTTGAGCCCAGGAGTTGGAGGTTGCTGTGAGCTTGATGCCATGGCACTCTACCCAGGGGGATAGCTTGAGGCTGCGTCTCAAAAAAAAAAACAACACTGTTTTCTGAGCATGTCCAGCCCACATCCTGGGGGTCCTGCAGACTGTCAGGGCTTGTGCCTGCTCTCCCAGCAGTGTGTAGTGGGCTCTTCCCTGGGCTCTGTCCTGAACCCACTCCTCTTCCCAGGCAGCATTTGTCTGCTTCCATCCATCTGTCCAGAACTTCCTCCCTCTGCAGATACCTGCATTCTCCAGGCCTACTCCATGAACACTTCAAAACCAAATGCACCTTCCTGCCCAGTCACTGTGCCCGTTCCAGCTCTTGTGTTAGGCTAGGGTAACTACAGTGGTTTGCTGCTGGGTCCTAAGCTTTTGTTCCCAGATGGCAAGGTCTTAATTTACTATAACTGAAGAAACAAAAGTCTGGTATTTTTGAACCAGATTGTAGACCAGAGGTGTCCAACATTTTTTTTCTCTGCCACACATTGGATGAAGAGGAGTTGTCATGAGCCCCATTAAATACACAAACACTAAGGAAAGCTGATTAGCAAGAAAAGGTCTGTGCATATTTTCCATGATATCCCCCACAGATAAGCAAAAAATGTTTTCACAAATCAGTATGTGGTGTAAAGGTGTAAATTGGACACCCCTGCTATAGACAGTGCCCTCCACCTTTGTACATGTATCAGAACAGACCAGTGCTTCCACATAACAAACAGCACTAAAAATCTCAGTGGCTCTCAGCAAAAGCAGCTTCTCTGTGATATGCTTATCATCCTTTGTGGGCCAATCCCAGCCCTTGAGGTTCAGGGCTGTCACAGCAGAAAAAGAGTGGCTGGCACTCAATGCTGCAGCTCAAGAGTGATGTGAGGCACTCGTTCTCAGGTCACTGGCCTCCACTACTCAGGCCAGCTTTGGGTTTGAGGTTGGGGAATTGTAAATCCCAGTGCACCAGCCCAGGAGAACCAGGTGGGATGAAGGCCTATGTCCCCTGCCCTGCCTCTCTCAGCTCCTCCTGGGGACCCTGTAATGTTAGAGTCCCCTGAATGTGTGGTCCCTCACAGCCCTCAGAAGACCCCTGGCATGTACCCCAAGTGGAGTGGCCCCTACTCCTTTGTTCACACTACACTGTGGAGCACAGCCAAGGCCTAGTTCTCTGGCGGCCTCTGTCCTGGTTCCTGCTCCTTCACTGACCTTTGTCTCCCTCTGGTGTCCTGGGCTGACATGGTGGGAGAATGGGGGAGTCTCTACTGAGCATAGCCTTCCCTGTGCAGTCTTGCCACACTGTCCCTGGGTCTGGCCCAGAGCCAGCATGGATAGCTATGCTCTAGGACTGACTGGGAGTGTTTTGCAGACATAGTGTGCATGGATCGTGTTGAGGAGATTCTGGATCTGGTGGCCACAGACCAGCCTCCTACCAAGGACAAGTGGGTGGTGCAGAAGTACATCGAGACGCCAATGCTCATCTATGACACCAAGTTTGATATCAGGCAGTGGTTCCTCATCACAGACTGGAACCCGTTGACCATCTGGTTCTACAAGGAGAGCTACCTACGGTTCTCCACACAGCGTTTCTCCCTGGACAACCTGGACAGGTCAGTGGAGTGGGCCCCTCCCTGTCAGCCACGACCCCAAGAGGCACAGATGGGGAAACCAAGGCTCAGAGAGCTTAATGGCCTCCCCAAGAGACATGCTTAGCCCACAGGCCTGCAAAGCCAGTGCCCTACATCCCCCGATGTGTGTATCTTCTCCAGAAAATCTCAGAAGATACCACTTGCCCACACACCTGTGTGTGCAGATAGTGTGTCTGCACCTGGGCCTGAGTGCAGGGCAAGCAACTCGTGGAGGGGACAGGGACAGATGTAGGGTGACCAGATTTTAACATTGGTAAAGTGGGACAACATGGGGGGGGGGGTGGAGCGGGGGCCAGGGCAGGGCCTGACAACAATGCAAACTTTGATAAGCAGTTCTTGATAATCACTTCTCAACAATTATTTGTTATTATTACAGTTTAACATTATAAAATTAACAAAAATAATATAAAACTCATATCCTGGAGAAATAGCCACATGGCAGCCAAAAACTATATATTCCCTTCCTGTTCTCCCACCTGTTTGTGCATTCTTTCTAAAAATCGGGATTTTTTAAAAACGCCATGGGACACGGGACAAATTGTTTAAAAGCAGGACTGTCCTGCCAAAAGCGGGACGTCTGGTCACCCTAGACAGATGCCCACCTCTCCAGGGACCTCGAGTGGGCAGGATGGTGGGAGCCCAGCTGTGAACCTCAGGGACCTGCCATTCAAGCAGCAGAAAATCTCCACTGGCCTCTGTGGGCGGGGCTTCCTGTGCAGGGTTTATGAGCAACACTTGGCCCTCCTTGACCTGCAGGATCTAGATGCCTGGAGGGAGGGGCTTTGCAAGGGCATCCGTCAGAATCCAGGAAGGGCTGGAGGAGTGAACTCTGCCCCTCAAGGCTACAATGGTGAAGCGTGAAGGGTCACACCCAGGGCGACTGGGGAAGAGTTGGCAGGAGCTTCAGCCCTCCCCTGCCTGCTGCCTCTGTCCCAGCAGCCTGGAGGGGAGTGCAGGGAGGCCCCTGTGCAAAAGGAGCACCTGCCAGTGAGGAGTCGGGTCCCCTCCAGCCTCACCCTCAGCCCTGCCCAGCCAGGAGTTGAGAGGACCCGAAAATCTCATTCCCTCTCTGAACCCTGTCTCTCCATCTGGGACCATAAACGCTCATCTTGGGGACTGTAAGTCCTAGAAATGGCCTCTGAATAGGAGTAGCCCAGGGGCATGTAGTGACAAATTAAATAGTAAAATGTTAGCAGTAGGTCCATGACACTGAACCCACTATTTTTATTCTCACCTACCTTCTAATGGAAGTAAAACTTACACACAGACCCAGAGTCAAGTCTCATCCCCTGAACAAGACCAAGAATTCCCAGCTCCACAGCACCTGCCAGGCATGTCTTCAATTTAAATGAAAATGCCCTGACCATGTCCCTGGCATTTAATAATCTCCCCAAAGATGTTAGTTTTGTTAAATCCTATTTAGAATAATGAAAGAGTGTAAATAAATTAGCTGAAAATTTTAGCTGGGTGACTTTCTTACCTTGTCTCATTAGATCAGCCCTTCTGGGACCAGCATCCCTATCACCACAGCAGATGGGGGACCAGGGCTTGGGGAGATTGTCACCTCCTAGAGGCCCCTAGTTGGTGGCCCTTGGGTGTAATATAGTCCCTGGCATGGCCAGGCTGGACCAAGTGCTGTCCTGAGGCTGCTTCTGGGTGGGGGAGCCATTGGAGCCCTGCCTCCCCACCCTGTGGCCACCATGCCTGGGGTTCTTGGGGGCTTGCCTCATGTGCCCATCTCTTCTCAGTGCCATCCATCTGTGCAACAACTCCATCCAGAAGCACCTCAAGAACGACAAGGCGCGCAGCCCGCTGCTGCCGGGCCACAACATGTGGACAAGCTCGTGCTTCCAGGAGTACTTGCAGAAGAGGGGCCGTGGGGCCATGTGGGGCAGCGTCATCTACCCGGCCATGAAGAGGGCCATCACCCATGCCATGCGCGTGGCCCAGGACCATGTGGAGGCCCGCAAGAACAGCTTCGAGCTCTACGGAGCCGACTTCATCCTTGGCAGGGACTTCAAGCCCTGGCTGATAGAGATCAACTCCAGCCCCACCATGCACCCCTCCACGCCAGTCACCGCGCAGCTGTGTGCCCAGGTGCAGGAGGACACCATCAAGGTGGTGGTGGACCGCAAGCTGGACCGCAACTGTGACACTGGAAACTTCGAGCTCCTGTGGAGACAGGTGAGTGCAGTGCCTGCCCAGCCTGGGTAGTGAGTGGCCCCCTCTCCTGGTGAGTGATGGGTTTGGCCAAGTGCTGCAGACATGTGTACTTTGTGATCACTGGAAATAGCACACAGGTGCTGGTGTGGAGAACACTGATCCTGTTCCAGGAGTCGTCAGAACTTGGTCTTGGCTGTTGGGAGGCATGGGGGGCCAAGCGCCCAGCTTGCTCTCCCCCTGGCAGAGCCAGCGGCGGGGGTGGGGGTGGGGGTGGGGTTGTTTGGTCCAGATACCCTGCGAGCTGGGGAGCTATGCTCAGTCCCAAGGGTCTGGGGGTCCAGCCTTCCTCTCCTCCTTCCAGCCCCTTCCTCCTGACCAGAGTGAAGTCAAACCCCTCTTGAGATCTGTCCTGGCCTCCTCCCCACAGGAATTCCCTGGGGGGCTGGGTGGTGGCTTTGTTTCCATCACTGGCCTGTAGGTCCAGTCCCAGCCTGGAGACAGGCCAGGCCTCCTATCACCCGTCTTTGAGGCTGCGGGAGGCTGGCAGAACTCGGGAAGGGCCCATGGGTCCTGGGCTCGTCTTTGAGCCAAGCCGGGTGTCTGGCCCTGGCCTCTCGCGCGGACTGCTCCGTCCCCACCACCCGCGACCCCACGCCCCTCCTCTGCCCAGCCTGCCGTGGAGCTGCCACCGTTTAGCGGGTCTGACCTCTGCGTGGAAGGCGTGGGCGTGAGGAGGGCCAGGCGGCCGGTGCTGCCCGTCTCCAACTTCAGTTTCTCGGCGCCATTCTCGGACACACGGACAGCGCAGAGCGCCTTTGCCACACTGGACGCCGCTCGAGGACCCCAGCGAGCGGTTCCCCTGCAAGACTTGAGGCTGAAGGACCAAAAGGTCCCTCCCTGCGCCTTGCCTGCACCCTTGCAGAGGCCAGTGCCGCCGAGGAGCCGCGTGGCGAAGACAGGCAAGGTTGGGCCTGCCGGGTCGGCAGAGCCCGCCACTACTGACTGTCAGCGCGTAGCCTCTGAGGCTCCGAAAGTCGTTCTTACAAAAGTCCCCGCCACTCACCTGGACCCTCCTATGCCGAGCACACAACCCCCAACGTCGGGGGTGCAGAGCACAGCGGTCACGCATGGGGTCCCGCTGCAGCAACTGCCAGCCTCAGGTAATCACAATACCTCTGCGCCTTTACCTGGGGCCACCTGTCTGTTCCAGCCCCCCACCCCAGGAGGCCTGGGGAGGGCTTGGATCTAGGGACTAGGGCCCCATTCTGGGCCCTGGGTCTCCAGGGAGTGCCGGAAAAGGTGGACCAGCCCTGGGAGTGGGAATGGTGGGTCCTGCATAGGCCCTGGTGGGCGACACTTTTGTCTCAGTGCCTCTCTGGGTGTGGTGCAGATGGAGAATTTGACACTGTCAGAGCATTCCACAGCCCTGGGGACCTGGATAAGCCAGGTGCCAACAACTGGTGGGCTTTGCAAGGTTCTGAGGGAGCTGACCCATGCGTGGCACAGGGAGGTGGCACTATATGCACTTGGAGCTCCCCAGCCACTTGGCCCAAGGTGCATGATCTTGATGAGATGTCACAAGTGGACCCAGCCCGACTTGTTCTTGTTCTGCCCAGGTGCACTCACCCCTGACCTGGGAGAGCTCTGTCTGTGTTTCTCTGTCTCTGTCTCTGTCTCTTCCACTCCAGGCAGGGGCTCCTTCTGTCTTTTCCACTGCATCTGTAATACAGATGGGGGGGACTGTGCCTGGTACACAGCAGGTGTTTAATATTTGAGGGCTCAATATGTCAGGGCTGGGCAGTGCCCATGGAGGGCTAACCCTGTCCACCTGTCAGCCTCCTGTGTGGGCACCAGCCAGGTTCTCTTGCTGTGGACAGTGTCTCTGGACCACAGTGTGGCTTTCTGGAGCCCCTTCCTGGGAGCCCAAGGTTGGCAGGCACACACGGCCGCAGCGTAACTACGTGTATTCGCTACCCTAACATCATACCACAAATGGGGGGACTTCCAACTGTAGAAATTTCTCCTGTACAACTCTGGGGGCCAGAAGTCCAAAATCCAGGTTTTGGCAGGACCGTGCTTCTGAGGGCTGTCAGACAAGGCCTCTTCCAACCCTGAAGGCTGCTCCCACGCCCAGATTCTTTGGCTTGTGGCCACATCCCTCCAGCCTCCGCCTGCATCTTTATGCAGGCATCTTCCAAGTATCTCTACGTCTGGCTCTTTCTTTTTATGAGGAGGGCAGTCTTTGGATGGGACCTCCCAGCACAGTGTCACCACTGATTACATGTACAGAGACCTTGTCTCCAAGTAAGGTCACATGGAGATCACTGAACCTCCAACTCACAGGTTCTGGATGGACATGAATTTGGGGGACACCCTGAACCCAGGACATCAGCTATTGCAAGTATGGCCAGAGGGACATGCTGACTTGCACTTTGCATCATGGGAGTGGCCATTGTCCTGCTGTCGCCAGCATGCTGTGTCGACAGGGGCTCCACTGTTTGTTTTTTGTTTTGTTTGTTTTTTTTTTTAGAGACAGAGTCTCACTTGGTGGAGTGCTGTGGAGTCACAGCTAACAGCTGACCTCCAACTCCTGGGTTTAGGTGATTCTCTTGCCTCAGCCTCCCAAGTAGCTGGGACTACAGGCGCCCGCCACAGGTGCTGCACTGTTTGAACAATGCTTCTTTGCATTCCCCATTTACTAAGGAAATGGCCTATTTTCAGACACCTATTGGCCATTTGAGTCCTCTCTCCTGAAAGTACGGCTCTGGTGTTTTGTCAGTTGTCCATAGAATTGCCGGTCTCTTCCTTCTCTGTTTGCAGGAGTACTTGTCCTGGACCTGCCTTTCAGCTGATCTGTGCTGCACTTTGTGACTTTTCTGTTCCTTCTGTCATGGAGTCTTTGATGTACTGCCATCTTAACTTTCACAAAGTCAAAGGGATGCACTTTCTTCTCTGTGGCTGGTGATTTTTGCAGACTGCTTATGGGTGTCCTTACTCTGTGGTCATGGGGGTAACCCTCAGTGGTGTCTTCCGAAGCACCATTGCTGCTCTCCACACTCACATGTACACACAGGTCTCTTAGAACTGACTTGTGTGGGTCACATAGTATGACTGTTCACGTGGGTACCCGACAGGCCCCTGGAAAGTGCCTCCCCACCTTTCTGCAGGGCCCCTGCTGCTGCCCACGCAGGATGTGTCAGGACTCCTGGTCAGCAAGTCGGGCCCCTGCCCCAGTGTCCTCACTGCGTTAGCCCAATAGGACTTTCCAGGCCTCTCAAGGCAAATTCCACACTCTTGTTTTTTTCTTTGGAAATGTCTTGGCTATTTTGACGCCCCTCCATCCTTCTCTATAAATTATAGAACCATGCTGTCAGGATCCACCAAAAAATTGCCAAAACAAGAAATAAAACTGTTGGAATTTTTATTAAGTTAAAGTTCCATACCACTGACTTCTTTACAATATCAAGTCTTCCAATATATGAACATGGTATACCTCTCTTTGTTTATCCTTTAATGTTTCTCAATAATCTCTTGTAATTTTCTTTGTAACAATCTCACACTTTTCTGTTAGTTACTCTTATGTGTATTTATTTTCTTCTATTACAAATAATATCTTTTCATCAAAATTTTATTATTTCTATAAATTATGGCTGGCTTATAGAGATGGAATTAAATTTCTAATCCAGTCATCTGACTAAATTTTTTTTTCTTTTGCAGTTTTTGGCCGGGGCTGGGTTTGAACCCGCTACCTCTGGCATATGGGGCCAGCGCCCTACTCCTTTGATCCACAGGCTCCACCCCTGCCTAAATATTTTTTATCAATTCTGTTAATTTATTTGAAGATTCATTCAGTTTTTCCCACAGTTATATGATCTAATAAATTTTCTTTTTGTTTAGAATCATTACACCTTTCATTTCTTTTTCTCAGTTTATTGCACCATCTAGGACCTTACTTCATTCATTCACTCATTCATTGTTGTCATTCCTTTGGGTTTCAGCTGCACACAATCTGGTTAATCATAATTCTTTGCTCATGACATAGTTTCATTGTTTATCCTTGAGGGGCCCACTTTTATTTAGACTGTTTAGTAGTTTCATAAGAACCTGAAAACCATGCCTTGTACCCCCAAACCACCATTCTTAATGCCCATAGACACCATACCTTTGCTTTTTAATTAGTTTTATTATATTTATATATTTAAGAGATTTAAAAAACTTCAGCTGTTTTTACTTTTTAAACATTTCTTTTATTTTTAAGATTGACACATCAGTGTCCTGTGTTTTTACTTTTTGTTTTTTTTGAGACAGAGTCTCACTTTGTCACCCTTGGTAGAGTGCTGTGGCATCATAGCTCACAGCAACCTCAAACTCTTGGGCTTAAGCAATCCTCTTGCCTCAGCCTCTGGAGTAGCTGGGACTACAGGTGCCCACCACAACACCTGGCTATTTTTTTGATACAGGGTCTCACTGTTGCTCAGGCTGGTCTTGAACCCATGAGCTTAAGCAATCCACCTGCCTCGGCCTCCCAAGTGCTAGGATTACAGGTGTGAACAACCTCGCCTGGCATGTGTTTTTACTTTTTGAGGAGGGCATTGTCCTGTGTATTTTACTTGGGGACTTACATTTTCACTAAATGTCATATTGCTTCCTTTGTGTGACTGTATCATAATTTGTTCTTCCGTTTTTCTGTGGTTGTACACGTAGTCTCCAGGTTCTGCTCTCAGGAATGGTGCAGACATTATTCTCTGCCTTTTGTTTTACATTTGCAATACTTGCTTGTGAGTAAACATGCAGGCAGGAATTGGTAGTCCAGGGGATAGATGAATGTTCAGTTCAGGGGGGATAACAACAAACTGTTTTCTATAATGCTTGGAACAATTTCTTCTCTCAGAATCTGTAAGAGACTTTATGGATTTGTAGAATCACCAATACCTGAAGTCCTTGGGCTTCCTCATTTTCCCTAGTCATACGGATTTAAAAATACCTTTCTGCAGCCTTTATTTCCCTGGTTAATAGAGTAAGAACCCCACTGACTGGTGGCGCTGGACATCCCAGCGTGTGCTTGTTGGTTGTGTGGATTTCCTCTTTGTGAAATATTTGTTCATATATTTTGCCCATTTTTCTATGGGGTGATTTGTGATCAGAGCGTCTATTGTGAGTATCTGCTCCCAGTTTGTAACTTATGTTTTTGGTTTTTCAAAGTTGCCATGGAGTCTAGAGATGGAGTCTGTGTTTGCCTGTCCAGTGTCATCCACTGGGGAGGCCCACCTGAGCACCACTTCCGTCCCTGCTGAGTCCCTAACAAGGGCTGAGGGCAATGGCTGCACCTTGGTCACTCACCCAAGGCCAGCCTTTAACTAAAGCACTTCTCAGTTTTATCTTTTACCGGTTTGAGATGAGGACATGTTTAATGCGCCCATCTGAGCTCACTTCTTTCTTGCATAGTCATGTTCTGCAGACCTCATCAGGCTCTTCTGAAGCCTCAGCTAAACCAGACTCTTAAGACTGCCATAGGCCGCTGAGAGGGATGTAGGACAGGGATAGGGCTGGCCAGCAGGGGAGCATCGGGCATTCTTTATTGGGGGTGGGGGGAGTCCTTACAACAGTGTGAGCAGCTGTGCTCACTGTCTTCAGATGCTGTCACCTCCCAGATGCCCACACAGGTCCAGGGTGGTGGGACTCTCCCTGCCCAGACATCTCTTGCCCCATTGAAGTTAACGACCCTTCTGCAATAATCTGTAGGCAGGGCTGGCAGAGCACACACCCAGTCACAAGGGTCACTCCGGAAGGCCAGCGATGTGTCTGCCCACTGGGCATCTGTGGTTCTTCCAGTCCCTATGTGTCCTACCTACCAGGCATCATTTTTGCTATAAGCACTGTTGCCCACCAAAGTAGTTTCTGTATCCAGGTTACCATGAGAGAGCTAGAGAATAAGCCTAATGGTAAATTCTCACACTGGGAAAGGTTCTGCTAACCTTTTACCCAAATGTTCCAGCTGTGCTGCTGCCCTCCTGCCTCATAGCCTGTCGCCCTACACCTCATCAGTTCTGAGTCCCCACAAACCACAGTCTTACCTAGCGTTTTGCCTCCACCTTGAATAGGTTTCCCTGTTTTTGGAGCTGCATAGCATTTCCTCACCATGAACTGGCTGGTTCCAAGGCTGAGCCGGGAACCTGAGGCTTGTGTGCTGCCAGGTTTTGCAGCATTTACCTTGCCCGGAGGATAACTCAGGCTCTGAACTTAAAACACATCTCAGTCACCTGAACTCCAGCTGGGCATGCTTCCTGGCCCTCAGGTGGGTCAGGCCAGTGCCACGTGACCCTCACCCTTAGGGGCTGCCCGGGCACGTTTGTTCCCTGAGACCCAGCCAGCCATGACTCATAACCTTTGCTGCAAAGTGCCAGCAGGTGACAGTGGGTCACCTGGCCACGGTGGCCAGAGGACAAGGACCACACTCTGTTTCAGCAGTTCCCCAGCCCTCAGTTTTTCCATGTGCCTTTCAGAGAGTCAGCTTGTCTGATCAAAAACCCAAACTTCTGGGATTCTGATTGGGATCACCTGGAATCTACAGAGTGCCTTGGGGAGAACTGACATCTTTTTTTATATTAAGTTTCTCTAACTGGGGTCACGATCCACTCTGCTAATCTACTAATCAGGTCTCCATTTTCTTTCCTCAATCGTGTGTTGTGGTTTTCCAGGGCAGAGGTCTGACACCTCTTTCATTAGATTTTTTTCCTTGTTATTTGCTGGGTTTTAATAGCCAGTAAATAGTATCTCTTTTTATGTTGTATTATGAAGGTATGGCCTACAGGCGGCAAGGACGGATCTTAGGTGGACACCACTACTGGATTTGGGGTGTGTTGGACCTGCACAGACCATGTGTGGGACACTCTCACCCCAGAAGTCCCCTTATACCCTTCCTGGTCTATACTGCACTCCAAAGAGATAATCACTGTCTCACTTAAGTCAACATAGATTTCTTTCAATTATTGTACTTCTTTTTTTTTTTTAAGACAGAGTCTCACTTTATTGCCCTTGGTAGAGTGCTATGGTGTCATAGCTCACAGCAATCTCCAACTCCTGGGGTTAGGTGATTCTCTTTCCTCAGCCTCCCAAGTAGCTGGGACCACAGGTGCCCACCACAGCACCCAGCTATTTTTTTGTTGCAGTTTGGCCAGGGCCGGGTTTGAACCCACCACCCTTGGTATGTGGGGCCAGCGCTCTACTCACTGAGCCACAGGCGCTGCCCAATTATTCTGCTTCTCATGAGAGGAATCACGAGGCAAGTTTTTCTGTGTCTGAGACAAGGGCTATCTTGAGTACCGGTTCCGTGCTCTCTTCCTGATGGAGCCGTGTTCTGTGCCTGGGTAGCTGACCTGGAAAGTGGCCTTACTCTCAGCCAGAGCTGTTATAAAGTTGCTCTGATCACCCTTGTACAACTCTTTGTGTGGACGTACCTAGAAGTGGCATTACTCGGTGGTGACAGGCCCTGAGGTTCCACTTTGGTAGAGGCAGTTCCCAAAGCAGTTATGCATTTTGTGCTTCCACCAGCAGTGTGAGTTCTGGTTGATCCACGCTCTGGCCAACACCAGTTAGATGGTTCAGCCTTCTGGTAAGTGTGGGGGCATCTCTTCATGGTTTTAATTAGTGTTTCCCTGATGTCTAGGCACACTGGGTGCTTTTTCAAATGTTTTTTAGCTGTTTAGGTAAGTCTTTCTCCCCTTTTAAAGTTAGGCTGTATTTTGGTCATTTATTTGTAGTGGTTTTATGTATTTGGTATGTTTGTTTGTCCGATATCCATATTGGGAATATTTCCTCCCAGTCTGTGTTTCATTTTGCCTTTTTGCTTTCTTAGTGAAATTCAGTTTACCAATTTTCTCTTTGCTACCTGGTACTATTGGTATCTTGTCTGAAATAACTTTGCCTACTCTGAGGTCACAAATACACTCTTCTATGTCTTCTTCTAGAAGCTTTATAGTTTTGACTTTTCCATTTTGGTCTAGGAGGCATCTTGAATGAATTATTATGAGTGTTGTTGTAAAAGTTACACAAAGTGGGTTGTACCCAACCAAATCAGAGTTGAGGGGCTGGGGAAAGAACACTCAGAGCACATTGCATCTGCTTCAAAAATTTAATTCTCTACAAGCCCAGGTAGTAAAACAGCCTACTATAATCTTAAATTTTTTTTTTTT